GAGAAGTTCTTTCCACTTGTCCCCCAGGTTGGAAGACGGTGTACAGCTTGAACATGACTTGACCCGCTGACATGTGTCTGTTCGCCACAAGGTCCTCGTAGATGTCCTTGGGGATGGCTTGAAGCAGCATACCCACCACCCGTTTCTCTGTGCGAGGCCACCTACGGGCCATGTCAGGTATCACAGGCACCATCCGGAGCCTCATGAGTGGATCCGCTTGCAACCAGTGGTGGTATGCTTGTTCAACAGCAGTCATCACTACTTCCCACCATTGCTCTGAGGTGTAGCCCACATCCCCAATCATCTGTTGTGCAACTGTCAGCCAGTCTCCAAAGTCCAAAGATGTTGCATTCCTGTCCAGCTTCGGCAATTCGACCGACCTTAGCGTTTCGCCTGGTACTTCTCCCCCTGCCTGAGGTCCTGCTTGGACTACAGCTTGTTGTTGTTGTGGCGGTGCAGCTTGTCCTGGATTTCCTTGATGACCACCTGGGAGACCGGGATTTCCCTGATGACCACCTGGCGGACCAGGTGCTTGTCCCGGATTCCCATACTGCCCTGGCGGTGGACCCCCTGGCCAACCCATAGGTCCGGTGTTTCCTCCCGGAAATGCAAAAACCCCTTGAGGTCGATGATCTTGTCCTGCAGGTGCTCCTCCAACTTGGACTTGAGGATTATACCATTGATTAGGTTGGTCACCGATGAAAAAGTGTTTTGTGTTTTCCGTGGCTCCCATGCAAGGAACTCCCATCGGTGGTCTTGACGCCGCTCTCTGCGGCATACCTCCCGGTGGTATTCCATTTAGCCACCCTTGATTCATGTATACATCCATCGGCCGAAAACCTTGTTCGACCTTGGGCGCAGGAGGAACATTCCACAACTGACCTCCCGCCTGCATTTGAAGATCTTGATCATGGTGATGTTGAACTCCTGGAACTGGTTGATCTTGCACATGTTGTACCTGGGGTGGAACACCTTGAGGTGGCCCCACAGGAAAACCCTGCTCGACATTCTTCAGCTCCGGCGAGGCGGTTTGATAAGACCCCCCACTTGACTGAGAGCCCTTGTGACCTCCTCCGGCTTCTCGGACCCGTTCCAGGGCACGTTTCTCTTCCCGCGTGGCTAACCAATTTTCTCGATCTTGTTGGATCTCGGTCTTGCCCCGTTGAAAGAATTCCATCATTTGCTGTTTCAACTCCTCATACTTTTCCTTCTCCCTCGCGTCCGCCTGATCAATCAGGTCTTGCGACACTATGGGATAAGTCAGCTCTTTCACTGGAGTTTGTGGACTGCTCATTAGAGCTTCCACTCGCTTGGCAGCGCTCCATGGATTCGTTTCCTCTGCAGCCATGACCCCGGTTACAATCCCAGGATCCACAACCGCCGTTCCCCACTGAGGCACCATTCCCGTAGGTGGCACTCCAGCACACATGGATTGCTGGGACATCCCAGCTACTTGCGAACCCTGTGTTCCACCAGTTGCAGTATACACCACAGGTGCTCCCGCTGGCTGGTAGATCACAGGTGAGCCTGTTGGTGCCGCTGGCACCGATTGTTTGACGCGTGCATCTTCAGGAGACTCAACAGGTGAACGTCCCGGTCGCTCCAAAAGAGCAACGGTTTCCACAACAGCAGCCGCACCTCCACCCACTTCAGTTGAGCTTTGGTGTTTTCCACCCTGTCCTTCTTCTCGATTACCCACAACAGGTGGTTCACGAAATCCCTCAGACATCCGGGCAACTACTGGTGTTTGTGTCATAGGCACTCCCGAAAGAGTTAGACTATTCACACCTGGGGTCAAACCAGACAACAGACCGCCACTCCCATTTCCTCGTACCACTTCAAGTCCAGGAGGTTCTTCAGGTGGTAAGGACACTGGTCTTGCGACTTCTTCCGCAACAGCCGGATTCTGGGCGATTCGTTCGCCCGCTCCAGCCCGGACCGCCGCAACCTGCACTAGGGCTCCACTTCCCCCAGCACCGGTCAGTGCCATCACACTTTCTCCAACTTCCCCTTCCATCAGTGATCTTCGGGTTGAGTCTGATGATCTTGTCCCTGTTCTTTCCCTGTGTGCTTGTCCAGGTGTGTCCATCTCCTCCAGAAGCCGATCCAGCATTTGGTCTGCCGTTTCCGCGCGTTCTCCTTTTCCATGTCCATGGGTCCCATGTTGTTCTTCTTCAGCATGAGCAGCCGCCTGAACTCGATGTTCTTGTCGACGACGCTGAGTGAAGTCGCTGCTCGACATGGCTTCAGGGCAGCGTTGGGGTTGGGCTCATAACCCACGGGTTCTAAAGTCAGACCGAGACCCTTCCCGGAGGTCCCCACCAAGAGGCAGATGCCGCTGCACCTTTTCACTCCAAGTTGGGCTCGGTGATCTTGAGCCATGTTGCAACAGTCGGAGGACGTCTCAACGACTGTGAAAACTTTAAAAAGACCTTGGTGGGGGTGCAGTGGTACTCTGTGCATGTTTCCCAAACCGCAGTTTCAATTTGAGCATCTTTGACATTCTCAGTTGGAAAGCTACAGAAATTAGCTCTTTCAGTTTGCGCTTGGAATTTTGCGTCATTCTTCAGCATCTTTATGTTCTTCCGTAGCGTTTTTGCGAGTTTTTCCTCAAGCCACTCAGGGACGCTTTTTAGCTCAGGGGTGTCGGCATTGCCATGGCGCTCAAATCTGGTGTATTCGCTTGCCTCATCCTTGCATTGTGCGTGAGCTGCAACAACGTCATGGCAGAGGAGAACTCCGGCAAGGAGACTGAGAAGGGCGGCATCATCGTCGGCCGCGGCCTCCCGATTGAGACTGAGAAGAGTGGAGTGCCCTTCCTCCCTCGGTCGGAGAACCTCGAGGAGACTGAGAAGGGCGGCATCATCATCCCCCGCGGCCTCCCAATTGAGACTGAGAAGAGTGGAGCGCCCTTCCTCCCTCGGTCGGAGAACCTCGAGGAGACTGAGAAGGGCGGCATCATCATCCCCCGCGGCCTCCCAATTGAGACTGAGAAGAGTGGAGCGCCCTTCCTCCCTCGGTCGGAGAACCTCGAGGAGACTGAGAAGGGCGGCATCATCATCCCCCGCGGCCTCCCAATTGAGACTGAGAAGAGTGGAGCGCCCTTCCTCCCTCGGTCGGAGAACCTCGAGGAGACTGAGAAGGGCGGCATCATCATCCCCCGCGGCCTCCCAATTGAGACTGAGAAGAGTGGAGCGCCCTTCCTCCCTCGGTCGGAGAACCTCGAGGAGACTGAGAAGGGCGGCATCATCATCCCCCGCGGCCTCCCAATTGAGACTGAGAAGAGTGGAGCGCCCTTCCTCCCTCGGTCGGAGAACCTCGAGGAGACTGAGAAGGGCGGCATCATCATCCCCCGCGGCCTCCCAATTGAGACTGAGAAGAGTGGAGCGCCCTTCCTCCCTCGGTCGGAGAACCTCGAGGAGACTGAGAAGGGCGGCATCATCATCCCCCGCGGCCTCCCGATTGAGACTGAGAAGAGTGGAGCGCCCTTCCTCCCTCGGTCGGAGAACCTCGAGGAGACTGAGAAGGGCGGCATCATCATCCCCCGCGGCCTCCCAATTGAGACTGAGAAGAGTGGAGCGCCCTTCCTCCCTCGGTCGGAGAACCTCGAGGAGACTGAGAAGGGCGGCATCATCATCCCCCGCGGCCTCCCAATTGAGACTGAGAAGAGTGGAGCGCCCTTCCTCCCTCGGTCGGAGAACCTCGAGGAGACTGAGACTGAGAAGAGCAGGGACGCCCTATACCCATGAGTGGGCGAGATCGAGCACGCATGATGACTTGCAAAACAATTCTTTGCTTCACCAACAACAGGGCGACTTACAAAGCAGTGCTTGCTTCGCCAACAGGGCGACTTACAAAGCACGTGCTTGCTTCGCCAACAGGGCGACTTTGCAAAATAGTGCTCTTAGCAGATGCTTTTATGATTGACAAGGTCTGTAGGTAGCAAGGTTTCAGGGTGTCAAGTAGGAATAGGACATTGCTTCAATAGAGCATTCATGCCAGTGAGCCTTCGCAAGCTTGACATTCAGTGCATTCATGCCTGATACAAAGACAAACCCTTCCAAAAACTTGAGAAGACTGGCACCAACAAGTCTGGGACGCACACCACACAAATCTTTTTCACTCCATTTCGCCCCAAAAGTTTGGATCGCTGTGCCATTTACATCGCACTGAGGTTAAGAAGACATGGTTATCAACAAGTTTATGAAGGGCGGTTTGGGCATGGTAATTGCGGTAATTTAAAGAGATATGTTGAGAAAGATATTGGCTGGGGGCTGAGGCTTCCCCTATAGGGGGAGACTGTGGTAATTAATCCCTTAATCTTCATAGTAAATGATTATGAAAATTATGTTGGTTATCCCCATAAATTTGAAGTGATGATTATGAAATTCAAACTCAAAATTACAAGAGGCACGCAAACACTTTGAAGCATGAGGAGAATTTGAAGAAGAATGATAGTTAAATTTCTTTTTATAAAAGTGAAATTGTCTTTTGTTTTGGTTTGTTGTTATGGTTTTTGGTATAGTCTATTTTATAATCTATTGTATTGCTTATGTTGTTTTGTTTTTTCTTTTTGTTGTTTGTTGTTCTGACCTGATTTATGTTATTGTTTTCTATAAGGTATTGCTCCCCTGTCTTTGGTATTAACCCCATAGAATTTGCTTGTATAATAATGTGGGCGGTTAGATGAGAAAGACGGGGGAGCCCATTGCTAACTATATCAGATCACTATCACATGTTCCAGTCACACTTCGCGATGTTAGGCGGCCATACCATCCATCCCAATTGCGAGTGACGATCTTCCCATGAATTTCAATTTGTTGGAACATGTTGGATCTATCATGATCTAACCCAATTTGTTGGGGTATCATGATCTATCATGATCTAACCATATCTAACCCCAACCTAATAAGATCTAATAACCAAAACAGTATGACTGGCTGCTTCACCATCTTTCACCGCATGGGATGTCCCCACGATGGAGCCGGAATCCCATCCAGGTTCGCAGGCGTCGTGCTCTTGCAGCCTTGAGAGTTGAGGAGGAGCGATCCCAACATGATTCGTCCTCTGTATATTTGGGGATTTTTCCAAAGGTACTAAGCTTCGGGATGCAATTCCATGTATACTATATATATATATATTATAGATATAGATCAAGAATGATCAAGAAGGTTTTGTTTCGCAAAGGATGAAGTGCCAGTTGAGTTTCAGCATCCACCAGCTGCAAGCAGTATTTTCCTTAAGTGACAACACCATTTATGGCGCTCTCTTGAAATTCGGGATCCACCACCCAATCTGGAGGTAACCCTACCAAAGCAAGTCAGATTGGTTGAATTCGGGGTACAAACTTTAAGAAAGAATCGATCAAGATGAAAGTGAAGGACTGAAGACGTAGTTCCAACATCCATTGTGCAGACAGGGAATGACTTAGCCACCACCATCACCCACCCCTCATCTGCCAGCAGAATCTTCATGTTTCGGTATTGACCCGAGACAAAGGTTGGGTCCCGAGTTCAAGAACACGTCCAGTGGACAACTGCAGCACTTCTCAGCTTGATTTCTCACACGCCGCCTTTCCATGGCATGTGCCGGCACACTGGTTGTCCGCGACGTGTCCAGCGTGCATTGCTCAAAGAATTGTGTTGAGTACACAGTGGAAGGAGCGCCCTTGGAGAGTTTGTTTGGTGACTGTTGGATACTGTTGGTTCCAAACATTTTTTCACCCTACGAGCAGCAATAATTCCCAGTTTAGGCCGACAGCTTACCATGTTGGGCCGTGCAGGAAGCCCGGCTTCGTTTACTTGGCCCGCTGGAGAATCGACTGACTCACAATCAACTCATCGTGCACTGCTCGTGCGTGGCCGGGTTTTTCAAGGCACTGAGGCGCGCAGTGTCGACTACCATTGTTCAACTGCAACAAGTCTTCAGATGTTTCGAGAGTCTAAGATTTTTGTGCCCACCAGTTAATATATTGGGCAATCATATATTCAATATAATTTTCAATAATGTCTCTAGGCCTATGGATCTTATGACATGTTATAGTTGTAGTATGTTATGACATGTTATACCTGTTCCACCCAATGCCATAATCCTACCATTAAAATTGGACGGTGCTCCACTGGCAAACCGTGGCTTCAGAGCTTTGGAAGGTGCCGCTGGATCTTCCACAGCTCCGCAACTGGGTCACACTTGGAATATGCTCAAGTCATGGTTGAAACCAAATTTTGAACCAATCTATATTGGATATTTTTCTACGATGATTCCCAATAGATGATAAAATCCACATAATATAATATAATATATATATAATACGTACATCTATATTATTTATTTATGGAGGGCTATTTTTTTTTTCCCGTTTTTTATTTTTTACCCGTTTTATGAGTGAAGAAAAGAAGGAAGGAAAGAAGGAAGGAAGGAAGGAAGGGAGGGAGGGAGGGAGGGAGGAAGGAAGGAAGAAATAAACGTATGGGTTTCTCAGGCACCCAGTATTAATCAGTATATATATATTATATGTATATAATAATAAATACATAAATAGATAGATCAATAAATATGTGTATATTTATATATATATACATATATATATACATATATATATATATATACATATATATATACATATACATATATATATATACATATACATATATATATACACATATATATATTTACATATATACATATATATATGGTACCCCCCCCTGATACCCACCTCACATTGATTCAAGAAGTAGGTTTTTAATGATCTACTGTATATGTATGTAAAAAATGTATGTATATATATATATAAATAAATGTATGTATATATATATATATATGTATACATATATATATACACACTTGCACGTCACTTGGTACTATGTGGTTAAATAATTTGGGTACTTAGGCAAATCGCACACAGAGAAAAATTGCAATTTTTGCAATTTCCAGACCCCAAATTCAAAGATTCAAAGATTCAAAGGTTGAAAAGAAGTTCTTTGAATCGAAGCCCCCAAAATTCAAAGATTCAAAGATTCAAAGGTTGAAAAGAAGTTCTTTGAATCGAAGCCCCAAAATTCAAAGATTCAAAGATTCAAAGGTTGAAAAGAAGTTCTTTGAATCGAAGCCCCAAAACCCAAATTCAAAGATTCAAAGATTCAAAGGTTGAAAAGAAGTTCTTTGAATCTTTCACTTGGGGTTTGGGGCTTCGATTCAAAGAACTTCTTTTCAACCTTTGAATCTTTGAATCTTTGAATCTTTGAATTTGGGTTTTGGGGCTTCGATTCAAAGAACTTCTTTTCAACCTTTGAATCTTTGAATCTTTTCTTTGAATTTTGGGGGCTTCGATTCAAAGAACTTCTTTTCAACCTTTGAATCTTTGAATCTTTGAATTTTGGGTCTGGGGCTTCGATTCAAAGAACTTCTTTTCAACCTTTGAATCTTTGAATCTTTGAATCTTTTAATTTGGGGTCTGGAAATTGCAAAAAATTGCAATTTTTGTCTGCGTGCAATTTGCCTAAGTACCTCAAGGTGCAAACTTATCTGTCAAAAAACTCACACAAACAAGTTGCTCAGGCAAACTGCTCCAAAGCCATCTACAAACCACCGCAGAGGCGCCTGGGATTTGGTGGTGTCAAACCTGGTCAGTACCTCAAGGTGCAAACTTATCTGTCAAAAAACTCACACAAACAAGTTGCTCAGGCAAACTGCTCCAAAGCCATCTACAAACCACAGCAGAGGCGCCTGGGATTTGGTGGTGTCAAACCTGGTCTGAGAAACAGTTACTCTAATCAGACACTTTCAGTTCAGCACATCACTGTTCATCTCTGCAGCCGCCTATCTCATCCGAAAAAAGTCTCTGACTAGAAAAAGGTCACAAACATGCAATTTCCAATCGAGGGCAGCGTCTCTTTGAGCAATGGCTCAGCCACATTGCGCTTGAAACCTGCAAGCGTGGAGGTGGTCTACGTTCAGGCTCCTCGCCCGACCGTTGAGGATGTTCAGCTCTGGGATGTTCACTCGTCACGACTCCCTATGAACAAAAAGGTCTTGGCTTCAGCAATGGTTTGTGTCCAGAAACAGTTGGGCATCCCCACCGGCATCAGTGGAGTATGGACCCAAGATGCCACACGCAGGCTGCAGACCAACCTCGCCAAACCAAAGAAGGCAGCCCAAGCACATCCCTCATCACCTCCTCAGCTGGCACTCGAGGACATGAAGCATCTTCCTCCTCAGCCCAAGCGCAAGCGTTCTTCGTCGTCATCTTCCTCATCATCATCGTCCTCGTCATCTTCTTCGAAGGCGTCCGCGGCGTCCTCCACAGCATCGAAGTCATCCAAGGCATCCTCCAGAGCATCTAAGGCATCGAAGTCATCCAAGGCACCCTCCAGAGCATCTAAGGCATCAAAGTCATCCAATGTATCTGCCAAGTCTTCTGGAACCACCACCGAAAAGCTTCTTGCACAGATCACCCGCCTTCAAGCCGAAAATTTGGAGTTCTCCGATGCCATTGCCTGCCACCAGGAAATCGAGGAAGAGATTATGCGTGTGAAAGCCGAGCGAGACAAGTTGGCCAAGGAGAATGCGAAGCTGAAGGGCGAGATCGCTGCCTTGAAGATTCGCATTGGACTCTAGATAGCGGCTGTGCGGTGAACAAAAGGAATCTTATTGCAGCGTGACAATAGTATTGTTAGTTGGGGTTAGGGTGACATGATGCAGGTATGCTGTCTTTAAAGGAAGGGTATACAGGGAAAGTAAGATAGTGCATAGCTCCAACCTAGCTGTATATCCAAAACCGCAACGTAAACAACAAAAACAAAACATTGCGCTTGTCTGCTGCACATTGGTTCCTTCTGCTTGCCTCACATCTGCTTTCTTGTGTGACATTTGGCTCAGCCTGGCCTTCTAGCCCTGTCCCGCAATCGTTGCTCTCAAATCTGACGAAAATGTCCGGCGCTTTGATGGACAAGGCCATTGCAGACCTGGCTGGCAAACAGATGCTTCTACGTCTCTTAGAGAAGCCAGACCACAGTCCCATTGATTGTGAGACACCCTTGGCCATGGACAAGTTCATTGCGGAGGCTTGCCGGGAATGTGTCAAGGTCCAGCCCTTTAGGCTCGTCTTTGATGTCCATTTGTCCATGGAAGCCTGTGGAGACCCTGCTGAAACTTCCAAGAAGCTCTCCGAGTCAGATGTGGAAGGCCTTCCAGCAGCCATCAAATTCAAAGCCCCTCTTCCTGAAGGATCCAAGGTTGATTTCATCCATGTCAGCAAGGACGATGGTAAGGTTGACGTCCTGAAGGTGATCTACACGTCCCGTCCGATCTCTTCCCAACTAGCCAGTTCTTTCTGCAGTGGCAAAATGCACTTACCTGTCCATCGAGCAGGCCCATGGAAAGTGAAGAAAGCCACCCAATGGCTTCTAGGTCAACTTGGTGGTTATCAGCTCCGCTGGCATGTCTTAGAAGAGAAGACTGCAGACAGTGCTCCACCAAAACCTTCATGGTCCCCATCAAATGCTGAACTTGAGGAAGGCGTTCTGTTCATCAACGCGCATGCACCAGAGTGTGACGCACAAAATGAGCAGACCCTGTGGATCCTCATAAACATCAAGTCCGACTCCGGCACGCCAATTGCCAGCTGGCCCGAGCCAAAGGTTCGGCTCATGTGCCAGAACAAAAGTCGAGGACAAGCGGGAGCCGTGAGCATGACAGAGTTCCCTTTGACTACCTACAGCCTCAAGCCCTTCTTACACTCAGCCCTCTTGCCTCTCCTCTACCCCTTGATGCTCAACTTTGGCGTGTTGTTGCTGGGGTGTCCAGGAGTTGGCAAGACTCCCTTTGTTGTGATCTTGGCAATGGCCCTGGGAAGGTATCATGTACGCCTGAGTGGTGATACAAACTTGAAACCTGGGTGGCGTAGGGCCAAGTCTTTGGACAACTTTCGTCACCGCGCTCCTCGCGTTCAAGAAGCCTTGTTCCTTGATGACCCTTGCCGCGCCAAAGTGAGCATGGCTGACTTGAAGAGTTTCCTGACTGTGGATGAGGATGGAACTGTTGAGTCCCGCTACAATGATACCCGCCTCATCAGGAATCAGTTGCGGGCCTATGCCTCCAATGATCTGAAAGATGACTTGGAGGAAGAGCAAAAGATTGGAACTACTCTCCCTCCAGGACGCTTTCTGGTCATGCTGGATGACTTGTTTGCCGGGGAGAAGGAAAAAGATGTTCTGGCTGTTCTGAAACGTTCCATCATCTTCGTCTTCACCGGTATGGCTCTATACTTGCGCTTGCCCAGTGAGAATAAGGAGGCCATCATCCACCGCATCTGTGTAGACGACTTGCACAAAGACTTGCTGGCTGACAAAGACAAGCCCTTCTATGGCAAGTACAAGGCAGGCTCCATGGAAACTGGCCCCTCTTTTGATACTGATGTAGGTCGAGAGCAAAGGATGCTGGAGCAGGCAATGAACACAATGGCAGAGTATGAGGAAGTCCAGGGTTACATTGAGTTCGTCAACGGCAAGATTCAAGATGCACTGTTCCGATCTCAGGACATCCGCATTCTTCCAGGCTCTCCATCGTCGGATGACGACGACCAGGTGCCTTTGGCTGCTCGTCCTGTGCCACCCATTGGAACTCATTGTTCTGGTCGTCGTGTTGGTCCATTTGTCTATCCTGGCCGCCGTGTGCGGAGGAAAGCAACACCTGTGTCTCAAGAGCTGGAAGAGTTGGCTCAGGCTGCCGAGGCACAGACTGCTGTCTTGGAGGATGGCACCAATGATGAGATGGACTTTGAAGCTGCTCTGCTAGACACCGCTGCAGATGAAGAGGCAGCTCATGCGCTAGGCACTCTTGATGCTTAGGAGTAGCTACTGTAGCTTCACCAATTTATTGTGCGTGTACTTCACGTGCAATAGCTTGCGTACATGCTGTCGTTCCGGATAGACAGCTATCGCATTGATCATATCTGGGGAAAAAAGTTTGCCCCACAGCTTCTTTTGTCAACGGAACTGAGTTTGTCTACCCTCATGCTTGCAAGCGCTTGCAAATCATTCCACTCCAAGTCCACCAGCACCATACCAAACCTAATTGCTCATTCAAATTCAGTGTCTGATTCAATTTTGTCACTCGTTATAGCTGTTTGGTTTCCGCCTAGCTCCGAAATTGCGCCTTGCCATGTCCAAGTTCAACAACTTTCCCGTGCCCAAGAAAGGTAAGCTACGTGCTGTATTGAAACGGCCTGCGAGCATGAAGACCAAGGCATGGAAGCAAGTGAAGTATGTGCGATCCCCTGATGCAGTTCCTGAAGTTCGCATGGACCGCTGCAAATGGAAGCGCTCCTTGGCACAAATTTTGCAAAGCTCTCCATCTACTTTGGTGAAGATGCTTCGTGAAGATGGACTTCTTCATAAATGGGAAGGGCATGTCTGTCCGCGATGCTGCCGTGGCACCCTTGGTGGCCTTCAACAACTTGGAGGTTTACTAAAGCATAGATGCAGTGCCAAGAAATGCCACACCTACATCAACCCGCATCATGCTCACCCCATTTTTGTGGATCATTGGGGCTCTTCTTCTACACCGCTTGCCACCCAGGCATGTTTACTGATGCTCCTGCTCAACCGTGTTTCCCACCCCACCATCCATCGCCTCCTGCATGTGAACCATAAGAGCATTGAGGATATGGAGAAGAGATTAGGCCAGCTACGTGAAAGGTGGGTCAGGAACAAGGAGAAGGACATCAAATTTGGGCAAGGTGGAAAATGGCAGGACGTGGAAGCCGATGAAGCCACGTTTGACAAGAAGGTCGTGAATGGACAGCTGCACTGGGAGCAGTGGTGCGGCATTGTCCAAAGAGGTAAACCTCAGACGCTTGTCCTCCATCGCTTGAAGCCAGTCATCTCCAAACTTCGCGCTCCAGGCCCCGGTGCTATTCGAAAAGTTGAATGGCAACCATTGGCTGTGAAATGGCTTCAACACCGTGACATTATTCTCCACACCGACTCGGCAAAAAGTTATGCCATCAAAGTCAAGGGTGTCCTCCATGACCGGGTCATCCACAAAAAGAAGCGGGTGAAAGTCAATGGAGAATGGAAATGGCTCACTCCAAAGTATGTGGAGTTGCACAAGCATGTCCTCCCCGGCAGCAAGAAGGCAATCACAGTCAAAAAGGGCACCCAGATCATTGACAGATGCTGGCGTTTCCTCAAAGACCGGTTGAACATCAACCAGAACTGCAAAGTTGGCAGCAGTCTTCTGCGCATCCGGTTGCGCTCTGCTCAGTATGAGTACTGGCATAGGGGGCACGATCTGTGGTTGGCAACGGGTTCTCTTGTTCAGTGGTTCTTGTTGAAGGCCTAGAGAGCCCAGCCACCACAGCGGGGCAGAGTTCAAAAGAATCAGCGCGTCGCTGCTAGCACCTTCTGCTGTGTTCTAACCTTCTTGACTTTGCTGCCATCGCATATCTGTGGGCTTCCTATGTAAATTTCACGCCTATTTGCTTCAATCATCTGCTTCAATAATCTGATTCTCATGTCCTTCCTGATCCATCATCTGCTGGCAAATGTCTTCAACATATTCATGTCAATGCTCGCTCTGCACGCATGCAGGCCGCTCAAGGTGGGTATCAGGGGGGGGGGTAGCATATATATATATATATACATATATATACATATATATATATACATATACATATATATATATATATATACATATATATATACACATATATATATATATATACATATATATACATATATATATACATATATATATATACCCTAAGCGTCTAAACCCTACAAAATTGTAGGTTTTCAACTGAAACCTCGTGTTTACCCGTGACACGAAGATAAACCTCGTGTTTTGAAGTAAAAACTCGGTTTTTTCCATCATCCCTCCGATTGAGGCCTCGCAGTGCTTCGTGATCTGGCTCCACCAGTGTTGAACATGATATCAGTGGCCCATGTTTGCCCCCTATGAAGATAATTATTTTTTTGTTAGGGTCATAGACTCTGGTGGTCACTCTGGAGTTCCCAAACCAATTCTTTTAGACTGAGTCATCTTATTAGACTTCATTGGTTTGGAAACTCAATGACTATTCATATCACAGAGGTACCGGCTTGGTATAAGATTCTCCCAGCGCCAGGACATGCCGATCCTGAGCCACCAGGATGATGGCTGAGTTCCAGCGCTTCCCACCTACTGTTGATGGATCTAAGTCTCGAAGCCCCCAGGGTCTGGAAGGTTGGGAAAGCGGTTTGACATCAGGGTCCTGTCCATCGCGGAGTGATGCATGCTATGCTGCAAGCTGAAAGGCAATGCCATGCAATGCTCCTGCCTAGCTTGATTGCAACTTTTCATTGTTTGTGATGTCCGTAGTACCATTTGGGAAGTCTGTAGTATCCAGGTAGGGACTTGGAGACTTGGAGCCATCAACAGTATCTTCCCATTTAGTGCGCCGGTGCCAGCGGGACCGCCCCAGACATGCCTAGATGAAAATGGGGGCGACGAATCGCCACAAGACATTTGCGGTGCCGATTTCACTGCATTTTGTGAAGGTATTACACATCATATGGTCCTCTAAGTACATAGCAGTCCTCTTTTTGTGTCCCTTGGTTTTTCTTGAGAACAAAGAATCTGGCTACCCTCTGGTAATTTAACATAGCTATTGAAAATGGTGATTTTCCATAGTTATGTTAGTTTACCAGAGGGTATATCATTGGTGATGTGGCAGTGAAGTTTTCCAGAAGTCATCAGCCATGGGGTGCCCTCTCCGTGACGCGGCTCAAGGGATGCTCTGCCCCGCCGTTTTTTAGCCATGGCTCCAGGACTTCAGGGTCTTTGTCTGTCGCATTTACCCCAAACCTCCCCAAAAAACAGTGGAAAGTGATAGAAATCAGGTATTATAAGTGTCTGTGACTAGTAACCATCATATTTTCCCGTTTTTGAGATGATTTAGAGATGGTTGGGCTCCCAAAGTTTCAGCCACTTTGCGGCTTGCGCGCAGGAAACCTGGCCCTCCCTGATGAGCCAGACAGTCCCAACCGTGACAGCAGCAAAGCGTCGTCAACGGTGCCCTGCAGCGTTTTGTTTTTGGGGTCGAGGAGGACATGCTTCACGGTCAACTCCACGTCTTTCAGAACGATTTGGGATCCTTGACAGGGTTGGAATGGACTTTCCGATCCAAGCTGCAGGAAGCGCAGGAACTAGTTGTAGTAACATGTAGTAACTGCCTTAAGCAACGCCACGCCAGGGTCGTCCACGATCTAAAGCATCGAGCCGGCTGACGGAGTTCTTGGAGCGCCAAAGTGAGTAGCGAACCCAGTGGGATGAAGGTAAATTCCGAGAGTTGACCATCAATGGTATCAACCTTTTATCAAACTCAACCATTGATGCCAATGTATTCTGAATGTATTTGAACCGAAAGTGATCAACTGGACCTGGATGAATTGCGCCGACATTTTGAAACTTTTCTTGGACTTAGATGGGCTTCTCGGTCGTTTAATCCACTTTATTCCACTGACACGTTCAGCAGCGGATCAACAGTTTTCCTAGGCCCACGCCGCAGTATTTGATCCGACGAGCCACATCCAAAGTTCATCGTGAGCTGGTCGAGGATACAAGGCCGCGCCACTGGTTGCAGTGGAGCATCGAAAATTTTGGACCCACACTGATGTAGTCTTCTGTTATGTGGAGTATTTGCATTCACCATCCGACTTTTTGGGGTATGCCATGCTATCCTCTGCAAACTAGACAAAGTCCATCACAAGAATGTGAATTTGAAAGCGAATGAAAGCGATGACTTTGCTTGTTCGATTGTCGTGGTATGTTGCTGCCAGGAATGCAGATGATGCTGGATTGCTCGGCAACCAGGGTCCAGAGGCATGGGACATCATGGGACTGCTCGGAAAAGCCGAGATCATATCCAAAAAACATATGGATCGGCATGGATCGACTGATTCCAACTCATTTTTCCCGTTTTCTTTGATCATTTTGATCCGAATTGCTCGATCCGTGTGCGGCCGCTTGCCAATGGCTTATATGATATGCCACCGCAGGGATTTCGCCGTCTGCTGTCCCGAAAGTTCGGCTCTGTAGCCGCACCGGCCTGTTTGAAACGGCGCCGAGCTGACCTGCGCGGTGTCAGGCCCAACCCAGGCCCAACCCAGTGAATTCTGAGGCAGCGGCTTGGCGTGTTTCTTTGGATCCAGATGGCAATGGTCAAATTTCCTTCGGCCGGGATCTTGGGAAAAATACTTAAAGTATCAGTGACACCAAAATGACTTGGGATTTTGAAACACGAAACATCCAATTTTCGAAATTCACATTGTTTACCTGGATTCACTAAGGCGAGTTCAATCATCGATGTCGGCAGATGGGCTTCACTGGGAACCTGCGAAAGTGGGGGTCCCCAGCGGTTTCGGGATGTTCTTGTCACAGGTTCAACCAACGTGGGCTTCAAAACAAGATGAGTAATTCCTGGTTGGGTTTTAGTGGGCTGTCTTCCCATTAAAGCAGTGATGATTCCGAGTTGACGTAACTCTACTTTCCATAT